GGAGATAATGAAATAACCCCCCACCGTCTGTCGCTGTGTCGTGCTGTGGTGGCTGGCGTGTGTCTGTGATGTTGTGAGGCCACTGCTATTTCAAATACCAGGAGGGTCACCCACCGTGCACAGGACTCAGCAGGGCTTTCAAACTCCAGACTAGGCCGAAAGGGCTGGCGACATACTTCTGAGAATTAGCCGATGGACAATCTATGGGTCCCAACAGAATCTGCCCCATAGCAGTCTGGGAGCTGAGCCCCTTAGGTTGGAAGGTGCTCAGAGCACACAGTGGCCACAGCCATGGGCCCAAGCGTCCCAACGATTGGGAAGATGGTGCACGACAGGGGAACGTTTTGTTCTGTTGCAAACAGGGTTGCCCCCAGTTGGAGCTGACTCGGCCACAGTTAACAACAACAATGTAATAGTTCTTCCCGAACGTCCTGTTGCCGCAGCCTGGTAACACAGTCCCCCGTCAGTGTGCTTTGGTGCCCTCGTCCCATCCTGCAGTTCCTATCCTAGCCTTTTTTGGTTTGATGGAATTTGAAGAGAGAGCGTTAGTTCGACGTCCGCACTGCCTTGCAGTGGGGAGCAGGCAGTGTGTGTCTGTGGTGCCCGTGTGCCTTCTGCCGGTCGCTGTCACCTGGGCTGTTCTTAAAAAGTCTGCAGTGCACAGCAAACAGCAGCAACAGCCCCGTCTTCCCTTCGCTGTGTAGAACAAGCAAACGAGTCACATCCCTCTTTCCATCCGTTTCCGGGGGCTGGGTCCCCGCAGTGAGGAACAGGTGGGTTTACCTGCTTCTTCCTTCCCCACCACGTCGCCCCCGAGCTCGGTTGAGAGAGCCTGCGGCCCATGTCTCCTGCTCTCAGGTGGCAGTTGGTGAATTTTAGAATGGGGGCCCATGACCACTGTGGGGTGCAGCGAAGAAGGACAGAGAGGGGACAGGGACCTGGGCTGAGAGCCCAGGGTCCCAGGGGCTTTTTTCTCTTACGCCTGTGTGTCCCAGCCTCTCCTGCTGTCTGTTGCCCCGGTTTTGTTTGTTCGGGTTATTTTTCTTCTTCATTTTTTAGAGAAGGAGCCATGCTGTCCCAATGGTCAAGCTCTTGTCTGCGTTAGTAGGTGGCTTGAACCCACACAGCGGCTCCACGGGAGAACCACCCGGAGATCTGCTTCTGTAAAGATGGCAGCCGAGGAAGCCCTATGGGGCAGCCCTGCTCAGTCCCGTGGGGTCGCTGTGAGTCAGATGTGACCCAGGGCACTTCACAGCACCAAGAGCGTTTTAAAGAGCACTGTCAGGGTTACAGGACTGCTGCGTGACAAGGCCCGAGTGCCTGTGCACGCCTCTCCACCCCGCACACAGCCTCTCCCGTTCTCCACGCCTTGCCTTTCTGGGGTGCAGGGGTTCCGGTCGGTGAACGGATGGCCCTGCGTTATGAACTCAGGTCCCCAGTGGGCACCGGGGCCACTCACGTGCCTGCTAGAGTGTCAGCACCGGGAGGAGCATGATCTCACCTTCAGTTGTCAGTGGCCTCCTGGATGAGCCTCCGTGACATTTGCCATTACTCTGTAAGTCTGGGTTAGTCGGTTCAGCTCATCTGTGGAAGCTAATGGTCTCCTTTTGGGCACGGTGCCTGCCCAGTGAGGGCCCAGGGTGCTGCCTGGCTGCGCCTGCCTCCCACACGTGGTCGGGTCCGCCCAGGACTGGGTCAGCAAGAGAAAGCCTGAGAAGAGCCGGACCCAGAAGACCACAGCGTCTCACTCAGGAATGCCACTCATTCCGCTGCTTCTGTAAAAAATTTGCAGCTGCTCAGGATGACCAGTAGGTGGCGTTGAAGCTGAGACGAATACAAAGACGAACCCATCACAGACGGTGTTCTGCGTGTCAGATATAAACCATTTGTTACTGCTCGCCCCGACGTTTTATCTTTTTTGACATGAGGAGAGCCCTTTGTATTTTTCACATACACTCAAGGTTGGGAACATTCAGGCTTTTGTTTAAAATCATTTCTGGACACATCCCAAGCCATGGAAAGCAGGGACTCACCTAGGTACATGCACCCCCAGCGTTCATGGCAGCAGTCTTCACAATATGGAAGCTGGAAACCACTGTCCATCAGCTGATGTGTGGACAAACCAGATGTGGCCTATCCATACCAGGGGATGCTGTTCAGCCATAAAGAGGGATGAAATCTCAGGACACACCATGACATGGAAGAACCTTGAAAACATGGCGCGGAGTGAAATAAGTTAGATACAAAACGACACGCGTTGTCTGATTCCACTGATAACGAACCCTCCAGAAGAGCAGAGGCATAGTTTATTAGTTGGTTACCAGGGCCTGAGCAGCACAGGGCCTAAGGTATTTGACTGCCAACCAGAAGGTCAGCGGTTCAAACCCACCAGCCGCTCGGTGGAAGGAAGATGGGGCAATCTACTTCCGTAAAGATTTACTGCGTTGGAAACTCTGTGGGGGTTGCTATGAGTTGGAATCGACTTTATGGCAGTGCGTTTGGCTTGGTGTTTGGTTACCAGGGGCTGGGAGGGGTGGATGGGGAGTGTGAGGGCGTCACATCCTACTCCCCAGTAGCAAATGATGATCCCTTCTAATCAGCTTGTTGTCCCCTCTGTTCTGACACCATCTGCACACACGGCACCCCCTCCTCTGGGCCCAGCCCCCCAGAGCCAGACCTCACAAGCTAAAGGTCCCTGTCCTCCAGACTGCCACATCTGCCCAAGACCCCAGCTCCAGCTGCAAGCGTGGGTGTCCCCATGACACCCCCACTTCTGACTGGCTGGCTCCTGCTGCTCCCTTGGCTTCAGTGGGTCACTGCGGCCACTCACAGAACTCAGGGATGTGCTGTACTTACGACTGCAGGTCTGTTATGGCCAAAAGGATCCCAAGGAAGAGATGCATGTGGTCTGGGAGGGTCCCCAGCATGAACGTGCTACCCGCCCCGTGTATCGATGTCTTTCACCAGCCAGGAAGCCCCTGGAGCTCCCGGGTCCAGACCCCTTACTGGGGCCTCATTGCTCAGGCAGGTTTGATTGAATCAGTGCCGCCACCCCCCCCCCCCACCGCTGAGATCGGCTGATATCAAGAGGCAGTCTCTGGTGGCCTGGCCAGCCCTCACCTCAGTCACCTCATTAGCATCAACCTTCTGGGGGCCTCAGCAAAGACACTTCAATCACTGGGGAAGTTTCAGGGCTTTGGAGGGTCTCTCAGGAGCCAAAGACAGACATGAGATTCTCTGGATGCGGTTATATTCTTTACCCCACAGGATCATTGGTTAACGGTACAGAGTTTCTCCTTGGTGACGATGAAGGTGTGGAGACGTAATAGTGGTGGTTGGGCAGGGAGTTGCGGGGTAGCACAAAGATTAACACCCTCAGCTGCTCACCAGAAGGTTGGAGATTCAAGTCTGCCCTGAGACACCTGGGAAGAAAGGTCTGGTAACTGAGTTCTGAAAAATCATAGGAAACCCAATGGAGCAGAGTTCCACCTAGTAAGACATGGGGTCGGAATCGACTCAATGGCAACTGGTACTGTTGGATGTTTGTGCAACATGTTGTTGTTATGTGCCATCGAGTCAGACCTGACTCGTGGCAGCCCCTCCTTGGGTTGCCGAGGCAGTATCACTACGGAAGTAGATTGCCCCATCTTCTTTCCGAGGAGTGGCTGGTGGGTTTGAACTTCCAGGCTTCTGATTAGCAGTCAAGTGCCTTAGGCATTATGCTACCAGAGCTCCCTTGTGCAATATAGTGAATGGAATTAACATCACTGGATCGTACACTAAAAAATGGCTAAAGTGGGAATTTTTGTTATATGTTATTACCACAATTAAACACGCACACCCAAAACCTGTTGTTGAGTTGATTCTGACTTACAGCAAGCCTGTAGGATAGTCAAACGGCCCCATGGGGTATCTGAGGTTGTAAATCTTTACAGAAGAAGACTACCACATTCTTCTCCTGTGGAGTGGCTGGTGGGTTCAAACTGCCAACCTTTTCATGAGCAGCTGAGTGCTTTAACCATTGTGCCACATACACACACACACACACACACACAGGCAGGAGATAGAACCCGCTTTCTGCAGGCTCACACTTCTCTCTGTGCCCGGCTGGCCTTTACCTCAGAGCAGGGTTGGAGCCTCTGAGGACTGTCTGAGGTTTATCAGAGGGGGCATTAGTTGACCCCGGGGGTCTAACTAGCTCTGCAGGACTTCTTCATCTCTCTCATTCCCTGTAGGCAGTCCGTTTGCTTCTCATACCTCCTAGGTGTCCCGTCTTTCTTCATCAGAACTGAAAGTCAGATGTGCTCCTTGTTAACCGCTTCGGGCCTGCGTGTCCCACGTCCCTTGTTGTTTTTCTCAGCAGTGCAGCATTTCTTTGGCCACTACATCCATTCGCTTCAGCGAGCTCCTCCCACGGGATAGCTGAAGCTCAAAGCTGCTAAAATGTTTTCCCTAGACCATCCGTGCGTTGCTTCCTCCCAGCCTGTTCTGGTCTGGACCTTTCCTTACTGAAGACTGAAACCCATTTAGACAAAGTGAGGCCATTTGGGACAGACAGGGTCACAATGATCCCTTCACATCTTTAGTGGAGGCATTTGTATTTTCACCAAGGAGGTTGAAAAGATAGTGTTTCACCTGGAGAATTCAGGCTTAAATAGGCTACGTCTCTGTCCCTGGGTGGCCCAGGTGGGTAAGTGCCCGACTGCTAACTGAAAGGTTGGCAGTCCCTCTCAGCCATGCCTTGGAAGAAAGTCGTGACAATCTGGTTCCAGGAAACCAGACATTGGAAACCCTGTGGAGTACGATTCCACTCACACATGCGGTCACTGTAAGTCAAGCCAATGGCAACTGGTTGGTTTGTGTTTTTCAGTGAGTTTTCAAGCACTCTGCTCCGGAGCGGGGTGCGTTTTGGGTTAGGGCCCCCCAAGGATTCCTTAAGGAGTACCCCTCGTTCTGATGACTGCCTTTGGCGGTGACGTGCATTTGCTTCTCCGGACCAGGGCCGCCCCCTCCCAGCTCGGCTCCCGAGCAGCCCTCGTCGGCCTCCATATTCGAGCACGTGGACAGGATCTCTCACTCGGCAGAGGCCGGCCGCCGCGTGCTCAGTAAGATCCAGCTCATTGCCATGCAGCCCATCCCGGCTCCTCCGGCCCAGCTGCCTGCGCTGGGCGAGCGCGTGGTGGAGACCAACAAGATGAACAAGGAGGTATCTGTCTTATGAGAAAGCATGTTCCGATGTGTGCGGGGCTTAACCACGAGTCGGCGCTACAGAGCCAGTTCCTCCCTGGGGGAGCGGCCGACTCGTGGCGGGAACCTGCAGGGCTGCTCTTGGTTTCTTAGACCAGTGCCGTTCAAGACCGAGCCTGTCACAGGCGGCCCTCCTCAGAGGCCTGCTTGTCAGGCTGGCGCTGCAGGGAACCTGCTTTTCGGGCGGGTTCCGTCCGCTGCCTGATGAGTGACTCCCCTTCCCGTCTGTGTATGCTGATGACGTGTGGTGTATGCTGACGATCCGCCCGCCTTTGGGGAGGCTGGGATTCTGGCGGTGCCGCCAGAGGGTGAGGGCCCTAGGCGGCGCACAGGGTTTGTGCTCAACCAGTGACCTAAAGGTTGGTGGTTCGAACCCACCAGGAGGTGCCTGGGAGGACAGGCCTGGCCATCTGCTTGCAAAGGTCACAGCCTTGAAGAATCCGTGGAGCAGTTTTATGCTGCACACATGGGGTCGCGTGAGTCGCAATCGACTCCACGCAACTCACAACAACGGGTGGAGAGAGGGCGCTTGGTGACCAGCACCAGAAAAACCAATGTTAAAGGCCCTGTGAGTGGGGAGCGCAGTGTTGGAAGGCAGCTCGTTGCCGTCAGCGCGCTCCTCGGGGAGAACCTGAGGCCGGCCGCTGCGCGCCTGGCACGCGCTCGCGTGGCGCACGGAGGGCGCACTGCCGCCTGCAGGGGGCGCTCACCCTCCTCCTCTGTTACCTCCTCAGATTCAGACTGCGCTGAGGCACAAGTCCGAGATCGAGCACCATCGGAACAAGATCCGGCTCCGCGCCAAGCGCCGCGGGCACTACGAGTTCCCGGTGGTGGACGACCTGTCCTCTGGGGACACCCGGGAGCGCCACCGCGTGTACCGCCGTGCACAAATGCAGATCGACAAGATCCTGGACCCCACGGCCAGCGTGCCCTCCGTGTTCATAGAGCCCAGGAAGAGGTGGGTCCGCGGCAGGGCAGGGGCGGGGTCCCAGTGCGCTGCCTTAACCGTTACAGTGTTCACAGGGCGCCTGTCCGTTTGGAAGCGGACGCGTGAACAGCGGCTGAAGAGGTTTATAGGCCAGAGCCTTGTAGGTCTTGGGGACACCTTTTCCAGGTCAGTCCCCATCTTTGTGTGGAAGGCGCTCCCGTTTTCTAGCTTGGTCAGCGGGTGCCTCGGACACTTCCTCTGATTTCATTTCAGGTCACGTTCATTCAAGTGAGGCCACCCGTTCCGTGCCGAAGCTTCTCCCAGGGCCCCCGGCTCTCGCTCCTCTCACCCCGTGCCTCTCGGCTGTGTCCTTACCGCGGGGTGGTGGTAATTCAGGAGGACTCCGGCCTGGGGACACCCGGGCTCTGCTCCGCCAGCGCCCCTCACGTCCCTCTGCCAGCAGGCTTGCTTGTTGCTGTGTTGGTGAACAGGTTCCAGGAGAGCTCCCTGACTAAGGCGCTAGGGGAGATGCTTGATGAAAATCAGCCAATGAAAATGACTCAGAGCACAAGCACCCCATCCCTAAGGTGCTGGTGGCCGGCCCAGGCCAGGCAGTGGTTCCTGACGTTCTGCCAGGGTCATTGTGCACTGTGGCAACCCAACCAGAGCTACTAACAACAGTGTCACCACACTGGCGGGTGTCTGGCTGGCCCCTTCCTCTCTGTCCCTGCAGCCACCATCAGAGTCTAGGATCTGACCTTCAGTGCTGGTCTCCCACGCTTCTGTCTGCCACCACAGGTCCCTGCTCCTTCATCTCCTCCCTCCTTCACACCCCCACTACAGGTCCCTGTTGCTTCTCTGCTCACAACCTGCCCCGGCTCTCACAGCTGCCCCTTGGAACCTGCACACCCTTGCAGGGGTCCCTGCCTCTCATCTCAGCTGACTCCCACCCACCAGGACACAGACAGCTTCCCTGTTTCTCTCCTCGAATGGCCCCGTCTGGTGCTAGGCATGATGGGCCTGCCCATTACATCTTCTGCCCATGCCCCACACCATGACTTGAGACCTGTCACCCCCCCCCTCCCAGGACCTGGCCCAGGGTGTCCAGGCAGGGACGATGTTCACGATGGCCTCCCTCCTCTGGGCGTGTCTGCCTGGTGACTCAGAGAAGGCATGTGGCCTTGTGCTGCTCTCAGTGGGGCACGTGTGTGTACAGTGGGTGGACCGTGGGTGCCTGAGCACAGACACCTGTCTCACGCTTGTGGTGTTGGCCACGCGGCTGTTGTCAGTTATCAGAAAACACTTAGCTTAGTGGATGGGCCCGGGCCAGAAGGTTTCTTCTTATGGCTGTGACTGTCTTTCCCTGGCAGTTCGCGGATAAAGCGTTCTCCCAAGCCACGGCGGAAGCACCAGGTCAATGGGTGCCCCACGGATGCCGAGAAGGACAGGCTCATCACCACAGACAGCGATGGCACCTATAAGCGGCCCCCCGGCGTGCACAACTCAGCCTATCTCGGGTGCCCGGTATGTCCCCCGCTGCTCCGTCGGTGACAGGTGGACGAGTGTGGTTCCTGGGAAGGGTCACGGGTGGGAGAGCGATGTTGGCTGCTGCCCGGTGTGCTGAGGCGCTGATGGCCAGCGGGGCGGGGTGGGCCTGCTCCAGGGGGGAGGGGGGCCTCAGCCACATAAGGTGGGGGGTCTGGAAACATCATCCAGGTTTTCCTCTTCTGTGTCCATGCGCTGGTCTCAAGCGTTAGAAAGGGAGCTTCTTGAGAATAATCGGAAAAGAGAGAAACATCCAGAAAGTTCCCTCGTCTGGCTCTCCCACCCCCACTCCCTTGAGAGGGCTGTTTCGGTTTCTTGGAGGCAGGAGGGGTTTAGGGTTTTGTCCCTCCCCCTGCCCCATCCCAGAGGTAGACCATATCTGTAGACTCTGTGTTCATGTCATGTAGCCTCTAGACAACATCGATGTCTGTGTGGGGTTTGCTCTCTGACTGCCTCCCCCTGCTTCACTGAAAAGACTGCGTTTGCTGCCCCCCCCACACACATTTTTTTATTGTTGTGGGAAAAGATGGGGCTTGATGGGAATTAAGAAGAAAGGAATGAAACATTTTTCATACTGAAAATATGTATTCTCAGTATGTACGGAGTTGCTTGGAATTTTAAAGAGACAAGTGACAGCATTAACCCCCACACACACACAAACAGACCCCACTGAGGAGGAAAGAAGGCCAGCCCGGCTGAGGGGCTGTGAGAGGCATGGACAGAGGCAGCCCCCCGCAGAGAGGGCGTCAGACGCAGCTGAGCCCCGAACGCTGTGGGAACAGCGCTCCCTGAAAGCCCTCAAGGTCCTGTTGTCTTACATCTTCCCGCCTGCAGGGGCAGACGCACAGGAAAACCCTTGTTCAGGGAGTAGCTGTCGAGCAGAAACACACGTTTGGAGAGGGATTTATGATACACGTGATGACTTGAGATGGCGCTCGGTGGGCTGGCCTTTTCTTATCGGAGGCTTGTGCGTTTCTCCTAAACTGCTCCAGGAACTAGCACTGAAGGATTGTACCTCTAAAGACACAAACGTGCAAAACTCCATACTTACCTACCTTGGGCCTAAATATCAACCAGTCCTTATCTGAAAGAACCAGGCTCTTTCCTGAGCGGCCAGCCTCTAGGATTGTAGTAACTGAAAGCCTGTCTGGGACCTCACACCCTGTTCAGCGTATCAATCTCAAGAGTCAGAAGGGCCTGCACCTGCAGCCACTTTCCTGGGGCCACTTTCCAGATGGCAAGTCGCTGGCCGTCCTCACAGTAGATGGAGCTCTTGTGCAGCTGAGTTTTGGGGCCTACTCTTCGGCTGTCTTGGCCTTTGTGGTGTTTGGCTCCATCTGGGAAGTGTGCCCGCAGCTTCAGAGGGTAATGGCTGCCTTCCTTTCCTCTCTGTCTCACACAGGACTTCCGGACCCTGTTGTGGAGGGTAATGAGTTAAGGCAGAGCTGCTCCTCCTTCCTCTCACCCCCCCACCAGCTGAGGTCTTTCCTTCACAGCATCCTGTAGAAGAGCCTATTTCTACCCTCCTCAAGTTCTGTCACCCAGTGCTGTCGAGTGTTGTGGAGGGTGTCACCTGTCTCCTTGTTCTCTTCACTCATCTTCACCCCTGACCCTGACTCTTCTCTCTCATGGCGGCTTGGCTGTGCTTTTCTCCTTCCTTTGTTCTAATTAGACAACATGGCACCTCCTTCTTCGGTTAGTAAATCGTTAGCTTGGTGGTACACTCTCAACCACAGCCTTACTTCCTGGATCCTGAAGAAACCCAGGAATTAGCGAATGGCATGTGTGTCCGTTTGTGTCCTCTTTGTAGGGATGGGCCCAGGATCCTTCTGATGTTAAATCATAAACCATAGACCCCCTTTGGAGTCCCATATCCTTGGCAGAAATTCCAGACAGGAAAGTGTCTGGTATGTAGACCTTCCGACTCTTTGGAACGACACCAGGCCTCCTGTAGGTTGGCAAGTCATGGTCAGATGCTAACTGTCGCCCGGTGGAACCTTTCCTGGGCTATTACAGACTTGGGGAAATAGACTTAGAGGCCCAAGCGTGTGTGGACCCAGGAGTGAGGCCACCAGGTGGGGCTCTTGTGAACAGCAGAGCCCCTGTCCCACCCCATGAGGGCAGTCACTGCTCCACAGGCCTGGGTGCGTCTGAAGGGGGGCGCATGATGCAGACTCTGTCGAGAGAATCTTGAAATTGGAGTTCTCAACGATGTTTCCAGATTTTTAAATGTTGGCTGTCTCCTTTCATCAGATCAAGCAGAGCAGATGTGTGGGCTGTTTGTAGGTTTGCCTGTTTGTCGTAGGGTTTCGCCTCCGTTTGGAGTTCAGGCGCTGCCCGTAACGTTTGGTGCTGGCGTGGATAATAACTGCTGTGATGTTGGGTGGCCATCGCATTCGGAATCATCTTCCAAGCATTGGCTGGGATTAGGCTTGTGTCTGTGGGGATAGAGTTTTTCTTTGTAAGAGACATACCAATGCAAACATATAGAGGCTGTCTTCCTTGGCCCCTTGAATGAACTGACCAGCCACTTGGGCCTGTGAACCATTCTAGAAAAAAGGAATTCCCCCTCCCTCCCGCAGGGCAGGTGGTCACCGTTTCTGTAGACCTCTTCCCCATTCAGTGTTCGGGTTGCAGTAACTGGGACGTTGGGCCTGAGGGGCCGCCGTGGCCGGAGTGGACGTGTCCCGCACTGCGTCCCTCTCAGTGTCCCACAGTTCACCCAGTGTGTGCTATGGCCATTCTTTGCCTCCTAGCAGTAACAGGAAATAAGCTTTAAAAAATCTTAATCAGATGGTACTTGTAGTCCTGCCTTCTAAATAGAACATAATTTACACCTTGCTCATGACTCACGTCAGCCAGAGTTACCTCAGGTTTAAAGACAAAAGGGTCCTGAGTGAATACGTGTTACTCCTACAGCCGTAGGTGGTGGCTGTCATGAAGCCCGTGCACGCGCACACCCCTGACGGGCTCGGCTGTGCTGTGGTGATGGCCTTGGGCTCTGCTGGGGGCGTGTGTTGTCCTTTCCTAGTTGACAGGCTGCTTTGCTTTGATTTCCTTATCTAAAGAAAGTGACTAGCTTTTTCAGCATATACCATTTGAGACATGTTTTGTGGCTGCCCAAGGACTTTAAAAAAAATGGGTGCTTCTGGCCATCGTATTGCAGATAGTTGAGTTTTGCTGGATGTTTTTACGACTTTCTTTTTCTCCTGATGTGAGCTTTTTGTTCCCATGAAATGGCAGCTGTCATTTTTTGATTCTTTTCCTCGATGCCCACGAAGTCTGTTTAAAACCACTCTGCTTCTCGGGGTTTGTTTAGGGACCCCGGGGAAGCGCGTGTCTGACTCCTCTTTTCTCTGGCATTGTCCCTGTAGTCTGATCCCGACCTCCCAGCGGAAGCCCGGACACCATCCTCCACCGAGCTGGGCCGGTACGCTGGCTTGCCCTTCCCGGCTTCGCAGTACATCCCGCCCCAGCCGTCGATCGAGGAGGCCCGCCAGACCATGCATTCCCTCCTGGACGACGCCTTCGCCCTCGTGGCTCCCAGCAGCCAGCCGGCCAGTGCTGTAGGTGCTGGCCCCGGGCTCCCTGCCGGACTGCCTGTGAATAGCACCCCTTCCCGGGAAGAGCGGAGAGCCACACAGTGGGGGTCCTTCTACAGCCCGGTGCAGACGGCCAACAACCCATGCAGCGTGAGTCCTCTCGGGCAAGGTTGGGGGGTTTGTTTCCTGACAGCTTCAGTTTTCAGGGTCCTGCGGCACCCCAATCGCATCCTGGTCTTGGTTCTTAGGATGTTCCACTAGGTTAATTCTTTTTTTTTTAATTGTGATTTGGGTGAAAACGTACAGAGCAAATTCATTTCCCATACAGCAATTCACATACACTTTGTCTCATGACATTGACCACAATTCACCATAATACAACAGCTCCCCTCCCACTTCCTCTTGACAGTCACCTCTTCCCTATGTCTATCCCTCCATGTACCCCTGCCCCCTGAGCCGTCTCCCTGTACATACACAGCCCTTCTTTCTCCCATGATTGTTCTCTCCAAGGGGTATATCTACCTCAGGTAAGTGTTCACCTCCTCTGCCTGTCTTCTGTTTGGCTGGAAGCCACAGGTGTGTGTTCAATTCCAGACCTGAGGGGCAGCTAGGGGCCATAGTCTCAGTGGTTCCACCAGGCTCTATCAGACCAGCAAACCTGGTCCCCCACTAGGTTAATTCTTAGGGTTCCTGGATGTATGAACAGCAGACATGCTCAGCTGCTCACTGAAAGGCTGAAGGTTCAAGTCTTCCCAGAGGCACCGGGAAGAAAGTCCAGGTGATCTCTTTCCAAAAAAACCAGCCAGCAAGAAGTGTGCGGAACATGGTTCTTCTCTCACACTGCTGGGGTCGCCCTGAGTCAGAATCAACTCGACTACTGGGAGAAAGTTAGTTTTTAATGTTGGGAGCAGGCCTTTTATGTAGCTCAGGTGTTTTCTCTGTTGGAGAGTTGGGAAGAGGTGTGGTTTTAGGGAAGCATACTCCTGAGTTGCTTAAGGTTTTAGGAAATGGAGGTGGAGTAGCTGCAAACTGTATTCTCACTGATGTCTCCATACAGGGTGTGGCTTCATTTGGGTCCAAACCGTTCAAGGTCTTGGCTGGCCACCTGAGCATCCAAGGGGTCCTTGAAGTATGGGAGCACAGGTGGCCTGGCCACACCAGGCAGGGAAGGCATTTGCAAATAACCACCTTTCCACCTTGGCAGCTAACGTTTTATCATTTCATCTGCTTTGCTTGCCTTTATTTATCTTAATCTTCAGTTAATTCCTTCGTTTCAAGCTACTTTCCCAAAGACATGAAGAAGAAAGACATGAGGAGTAGCAGTGGTATTTTCTGGTCATTCCAGATCCCCCTGCCACTTCCCCTGAGCACCTGGCAGCCTGTGGTCTTGTCAGACTCTAGAGTCTTGTTTCTTCCAGAATGTAATGTCAGGGGGCCCACCCAGTATGTTGCTTTTTCAGACGGGTTTTTCTTCTTTCATTAGAAATAAGTATTGAAGCTCCCTCCGTGTAGATTTTTTATAGATGGTGTGTTCATTTCTTTTTCCCACTGAGTAATCCTCCATTGTGTGAGGACCACAGTTTGTGTGTCCATTCACTGATTGAAGGATGTAGCTTGGTTACTTCTGTTTGTGCATGAAGTGGTTACAAACACTCACGTGTCGATTTTTGTGTGCATTTAAGTTTTCAGCTCATGTGGGAAGTACCTGAGGTGGGACTGCTGGGTCACATGGTAAACCAGCATCTAGCTTTGTAAGAAACTGCAAGACTGTCGTCCTGAGTGGCCGCACCATTTTACATTCCAGCCAGCAGTGAATGAGAATTCCAGTCACTCCATGTTCTTGCCACACTGATAACATAGTAACTTAACAGTAATTCTTGACTGATTTGTGTTACTATTTTAATTATTTATACTATTATTATAAAGGAGCTCTGGTGGCGTAGTGCCTAAGGCATGCAACCGCTAACCAGAAGGCTGGCGGTTCAAACCCACCAGCCACTCCTCGGAAGGAAGGTTGGGCAATCTATTCTGTAAAGATACCGCCTCGGAAACCCAAGGAGGGGTCGCTATGAATCAAATTGACTCAACAGCAATGAGTTTTATTATTGTAAGCTCTTCTAGTATTAGTATTCATTCTTCATACATGTCGGGGATTAAAGAGTCCATGATAATGTTTTTTTTTTTTTTTTTTTTTTT